CTCTTTGCGTGTCGGATACGGAGCTTTTCGCGGTGTTCGGCGGAGAGCCTAGTGGGTGAGCAGGTGCTGGGGTTTACTTAATTGCGCTGAGGGGTCCTGCGGGTCTGCTGTTTATTGCACCCCCCCCCTTTCTTTCTTCTTTTTTCCCGTCTTTCTCTTCTTTCTTTCCTTGTCTTTCTTTCTTTTTTCTTCATTCTTGTCGTTACATACTTACTTTCCTTCTCCTTTCTTTCTTTCTTTCTTTCTCTCTTTCTCTTCTTTTCTACTTCTCTTTCTCTCCTTGTTTCTTTCTCTCTTTTCTCTCTTCTCTCTTTGCGTTCTCTCTTTATGTCTCTCTTACTTTCTTCTCGTTCTCTTTCTTTTCTTCTTCTCCTCTTGTCCATCTTTTCTCTCTCCTTTCTCTCTTTCTTTCTCTCTCTTTCTCTCTCTTCTCTCTCTCTTCTCTCTCTCTCTCTCCTCTTTCTCTCTCTCTCTCTCTCTCTCTCTCACTCTCTCTCTCTCTCTCTCTCTCTCTCTCTCTTCTCTCTCTCTCTCTCTCTCTCTCTCTCGATCGACGTCGCCAGTAGTTTTGGGCAGTACGGAGTGCAGGCAGGCTTCACGTGGACTGTTGTCGGACTGGGAATATCGCCTGTGTATTGCGTTGGGGTATGGGGGGGGGGGACAGACAGACAGACAGAGAGGACAGGGTGAGGAGAGAGAGAGAGAGGGGGAGGGAGGGAGGGAGGGAGGGAGGGATGGGGAGAACTTGGTCACTTGCGTTCTACCGTATGATTAATATGACCCTACGGCGAGTGACACCGGGGCGCCAAGAAACGCGTCGCTGGCCCTCGGAAATGACCCGTTTCTCGGCCGTAAAGGGAGGTGGACGCGAGTACTGGGTGTCACGCCCCCAGGCTCCGTGCCGCCCTTTCGCGTGTCGAGGGAACGTGCCCCCTTAAGACCCTTACCCTCCCCAACCCTCCCCCTAACTCCTGCCATTTTCTCTCCCAAATGCCATAATAATTCCTTCGCAACGATAGTGCATTCTGGCGCGAGCTTGGGGAGAAGGGGTGGAGGAGGTGAATTGGGTGTGGGGTCGAAGTGTCAGAAGGATTGCCCCGGGGTATGATGGAAGGGGGGGGGGGGGAATAAAAGGGTAGGAAGACTTGCTTCACCTCTGGGGTCACCTTCACCTTAGCGTTCGTGAGGGTATACCCACCCTTGTCTACCTATCTTAACTTCCCTTTCCCTCACTCCTGTCTCCTCCTCCCCTCCCCTCCCCTCCCCTGCCTGCTCCTTACCTCCCCCTCCACTGCCTCCCCTCCTCCACTGCCTTAACCTCCCCTCCACTGAAGCTCCCCCTCCACACACCTAACTCCTCTCCTTCTCGTCCTCTTCCTTAGCCTCCCCTTCCCTCGTCTTTTCTCCTTCTCCAGCACCCCACCTCTTCTTCCCCAGCACCCTCTCACCCCTTCTTCAGCACCACCTCTCCCCTTTTTCCTCCCCATCCTGCCCTCCTGCCCTATACTACTTCTTCCTCCTACCCCCCCCCCCATTCACGCAAACCACCGTGTAAGCGAAGAAATACCAGTGGCTGAAAGCAGAAGAGGGGGGGTGCGGGGGGTTAGGGGGGTTAGGTATACGGGGACCATTAGTTACCATTTGTAATAATTTACTTAGGTTGTTCGTATTAGTTTTTTCTTGATTTTTTTTTTTTCTCCTTTTTTCTTCTTTCCCTTCATTTTTCATTTATTCATAGATCATCATTATTTTTTAATTATTTTCATCACTATTATTATTGTTATTGTTATTCCTACTGTTATTTTTTTTATATAATTTTATTAAATTTCCCCTGTCCCTGAGTCTCGAACAGTGTCCTTGGGATGCAAGTGTGTTTACGTGTTTGTGTTCGTTTGTTTTTTCGCTGTCTGTGTTCTTATCACAGGCTGGTGATATTTTGCGCATTATGTTTAGCCAAACAATCAAGCACGTCATCATTAGTCATCGTCAGTTATCGTCATTATCATCGTCGTCGTCATCATCATCATATCATCATCGTCATTATGATTATCTTCATTATCACCATGATGAATCGTAAAGTATCATCAGTATCGTCATCAATTTCATCAATTATTATCGATCATTAATCATCAGTATCATCATCATCATCATCAGGTAATATGATTTACGTGCATAGATATCAACGTGTACACACACACACACACACACACACACACACACACACACACACACACACACACACACACACACACACACACACACACACACACACACACACTCTTACTTACATTCATATATACATACATACACATATATGTGTGTGTGTGTGTGTGTATGGAAAGAGAGAGGGGGATAAAAGAATAGACATACAATTATAAGGAAAGGAGTGTATGTATAGATTTAGATTACTAGTAGGCATTTATACTGACAAATATGGCAATGTGTTCCTGTTTGAAGTGGCTGTGTGATTCACGTCACTTGGCTCGTCCGGGCGTGATTCAGCCGTTTGTCTCTAGAAAAGGTCTCATGAGGAATTGCTGTAGAATGCTTTAATTGGCGCCTCGGGTACAGTTAGGGCGCGAGGGCGGGCGGCCTGCGTATTGCTCGGTGTGACAGGCGGAGTGACTGGGCAGGTGGCTCCCGCCGACTGACTGGCGGGCGGCGTGGCCATGCGAGGTCCTGGCAAGGGTGAGGGGGCGGGGCCAGTGTCTGGGGGGAGGGCCAAGGGTCGAGCGGTCGCGGGATGCTCAGTTAGTGACCAACCTCGTTGGAGAGGAGTTGTGTTCGCCGCCCGCCCACTCGCCCGATTGTCCTAAGTGCGCGACGCGCCGATCGGCCTACTCTCGCGCGTCGCCGTCGCCGCGTTACCAAAGTGTTCGGCGGAGCTCGCGTCGCCTCATCGAGTCTTCCCGCGAGTGAGTTTCGTTTCGCGGGGAAAGTGAAGGTGCGAATGGGAGGTTTTGCTATTTAGATGGATTGTAAGAATGATTTGGCAGTTGCGTGCAACTGTCAGGGGGAACACTTTCGATTTGTTTTCATTAGAAAAAATAAGTTCCCCGTGGTTTATAAGGTTTATCCGGTGGTCGACAGATGATATTAGTTTGTGGTGTGGTGTTTGTTGCCGTAAGTGGAAGGGATGCCCTCCAGGAGATAATAGTGTGTTGAAATAAAAACAAGGTATGCTGTCGGAAAAACGTCTGATGTTGAAATTAAAGTAGAACAAACGAACTTGCAAGTATTTTGAAAAAATAGTTCGTAAAATAGCTGTGTTGGTATTTGCAGTTGAATGTGATATGGTGTGCTTACATGAAGCGAGAATCCAACTCTCGGGAAAGTGCGCTCGGCCAGTGAAACCCCGACGGGAAGGGAAATGCTCGGAGATGACGAGGCAGGCGCCATGCGAGGGCAGCCAGCGAGGCATTACAGGCGGAACACAGAACGCATTGCCAGAGGGGGAGCGGGTCGCGGCCTGCAGGCGATAACAGTCGAAAGCGACGCCGCTGTTTACAAACAAGCTAATCTCCGCGGTTGCTCTTCCAGCTGCAGTGGCGTTTGGCGCGCGATGCTAATGATAATCCCGAAATAGATGGCAGCCTCCGATTTAGCGCCTGGGCCCCGCCGGCGACATTTTCTTATGGGCCTCGGTGCTCGCGACGGGAATTCCGGGGCGTCCGCTGATGGCGCCCGCCTGTAGCGCCCTCGTCAGGCTGAGTGCGTTGTCTGACGGGCGGCGGCTTCGTGCTCGAGATCTGCTGGAGGGTTCTTGCGTCGGTTTCCTTTCCCTCTCTCTTTTCCTGTTCTTGTATTGGGTTTGCCTTTTCTTTCCTATTTTAACTTTCTCTCTTTTTCTTTTTCATTTACAGTATTCTTGACGTCATTTTTTTCTTTGATTAAATACCCCTCATCTATATTCATCGTTACAAGTCTTTTTGCTCTTCAAGTTTAGCAACAGATTTTCCTCTCTCTCTTCTCCCTCTCTCCTCTCTCCTCTCTCCTCTCTCTCTCTCTCTCCCTCTCTCTCTCTCTCTCTCTCTCTCTCTCTCTCTCTATATATATATATATATATATATATATATATATATATATATATATATATATATAATATATATATATATATATGTGAGTGAGTGAGTGTGTGAGTGAGAGAGAGAGAGAGAGAGAGAGAGAGAGAGAGAGAGAGGAGAGAGAAGAGAGAGGAGAGAGAGAGAGAGAGAGAGAGAGAGAGAGGGGGGGGGGAAGGAGAGGTGTGAGGGTTTGTTTGTGTCCGTGCACAGTGCCAGTGCCGTTATCTTCGTCTGCTTCTCTGTTCCTTTTTATCTGTCTTTGTCTCTGTGTCTTGTCTGTCATGTTTCTATCTGTTTCTCTCTATTTTCTTCTTTTTTATAATCGTCTTATGAAATCGTTTACTCCGTTATTAATTTTCGGATTTCATATTCAGTCCATAGATTTTTTATTTTATTTTTCCCCCTGTCCGTGGGATGTTATCTAAGTCATCATTATGTTTATCTCAACGTCGATTATTCGTTGAAATGAGATCAGTAAAAGTTTTTCAAACACTTTCAATATATTTTTCACTCGTGCGTGGCTGATTATTGTGACTGTTCAAAACGTTCATCGCTAACCCGTGATTTGGGAGGTTTGTTGCCAACAGATTGGGCTCGCTCGTGTTTTCATAGATTTATGGATGGGGTGGGGGTGGGTGGGGAGTGAAATACGTTTACAGCTGTAGTAATTAATGTTTTATTATTATTATTATTATTATTATTATTATTATTATTATTATTATTTGTGTACTTTATTTTTCTTTCTGTTTGTTACGTGCGGGAAATGCTCATGGTCACTTGAAGTCCGTGTGAGCGTGTAACGGCGGTTCGCTTTCCGATCGTTCCTGTGCCAGTGAGTAGGAAGTGTTGGGGAATGCCTGGCTTTGGGGATGTTGCACTGTTGCATTATAAGACTGATTCTTTGTTCTTTTGGCTTATAAAATCAATGATCTTCAGGAATTGAGGATGTGACTGACAGGTCACGGTCAGTGACCGGTTCACAGTCACTAGTGCCAGCAGACACCACGCCCACGTCGCCCACACTGCGTTGATGGCCTGCTAGCAGCCAGGCCCCGCCCACAACACCTCATGCCTGTCGCCGAAAGCAGACGAGGGAGGCGCGGCCCTTCGGGGAAGGTGCCTCAGGACAACGTGCTGCACGTCAACCTCGACGTGCGCACGGGCGTGCCACGTGCGACGCTCGTCAAAGGTGGCAAGGACTTTGCACTGAACGGTTCGCATAAGACCGTGCTGGGCGCCTCCCAGGGGTCGCCGCCCCCCAAGAACCACGTGTCGTCCATCTACCTGCACAACAAGGCCTCGTACCCCAGCCCTAACACCAACGCCCACTACCGAGAGACCCTAGATGAGCCCCCGAGGTATGACGACCTGTTCAAGAATCACCTGAACGGGCAGGAGGCGCCCGTGCTCCAGGGCCAGAAGAGAAACCACGACAAGAAGCACTTCAAGTCGTACCTATTCAAGCACTTCTCGAAGCCGAAGCCGTTCGGCAAGGGCGGCAGCGGGAAGCAGCCTTCGTCCGGCAGCTACAAGGGGAGGCGCGCCGAGTGCTACGCGGAGATCACCATCCCGCCCACGGCGCCCCTCGACGTGACCGGCTTCCCCAAGGCCAAGCACGACCAGCCCCTACCGCAGCTCCACCCCCAGTACTCGCAGCCGTATGTCCACCCGCAGGCGCCGTGCGAGCCCCTCTACCAGACTAAGTACGACGCGCAGCCGCAGTACAAAGCCGAGTCCCCGGGTCAGCCCACCTACCAGGCCCCCTACGAGGCCCAGCCCCCCTTCCCAGCCGCGCCGCAGCCGAACAGGGCGCCGCGCCCGTGCGAGGCCAGCCCCACTATCGGGGCGAGGGCGCGCGAGAGCCAGCTGGCGGGGGCGGCCGCGAGGTCCCGCTGCACTACACGGATGAGGACGCCAGGAAGTTCACGATAACCCTCAAGCCCGGCCAGTACCGCGTCAACGTGCAGTGGCGCTCCAAGACGCACCCCTTCCGCATCACCCTCACGCCCAAGAAGAAGAGCGGCCTGGAGGCGCCGCCGCCCGCCGAGCAGCAGCCCCTCTATTACTCCTCCTGCCAGGCGCACCCGCAACACCAGGAGGGCCAGGCGTCCCTGCCGCGGCGCCTGGTGCACCGCCTGCTCTTCCGCCCCCACACGCCCCCCGTGCAGGAGGACCTGGAGCGTCAGCAGCAGCACGAGGAGAAGCTGAGCATGTCGCCCGCCCAGCCCCCTCAGTACCAGCAGCGCCTGCCCCTCCACGTGCACCAGCAGCAACAGGTCGCGCAGCAGCAGCACCAGCTGTTGCAGCAACAGGTGGGTGTGAACCCCGCGTGCGGCGACCGGAAGGGCCAGAAGCGGTGCTGGGAGGGCGGGCCGCGGCACCGCCAGCGGAAGAGCCGATACAGGTGGGCGTCTTTGTCTTGCATGCACTTGAGCAGCCTGGACGAGAGCGTGGGCGAGGCCTCGGGCTGCGACTCGTACGGCGGCTACGAGGGCGTCGAGCACCTCAAGCGCCACTCCCTCAGCCACCTGAGAGCAGCCAGCTGCGACTCGCTCTCCTGTGGGTGCAAGGGAGTGGGCGTGGGTGCCGGCGCGGGCGGGTTCGGTGCTAGGGGCTTTGGTGGCGGGAACAGGAGGCGGGTTGCCGCGCTCGGAGTAAACGGTAGACTTAACACTTGGAATGCTTCGTGTTATGGCGCTTCCTCGTGCTACGGTGGTGGCATTAGAAACGGGATTGGTGGTGGTGGTGGTGGTAGTTATGGTGGTGACGGTGATACCGTTGGTGATGTGACGGATGACAGTTTTATATTCATTGAGAAACCTCCGCTCAAGTACCATGCAGTATCTTGTGACGTTTTACGGGAAGAAGGTAAAGAGACGCGAGTCACAGCTTCCGGTTTGGGGAAAGAGAAGTACCTGCCTCCGATCGGCGAGCGGAAGACGTGGCATGAGGACGAGGCCTTCGTGAAGCAGGTGGTGGAGGAGTACTTCAAGGACCCTCCTCCCCTCTCGGATTCCGAGGGCAAACATGCGGAGGGCAAGGGCGACGGCTCACCGCGAAGTCGCGAGCGGCCCTCCGGCGAGGCTGACAGCTGTAAAGACTTGTCCACTTCGTCGTCATCGTACTCGTCGTCGTCGTCTTCGTCATCTTCGTCGTCATCGTCATCATCCAGCGAAAGTGATGACTGCTTAGACGGCGGGTCTCAGGGCGGGGCCGGCGAGTGTGGCAGCCCCAGCATAGACGACACCACGTACTGCGACGACTCCGACGAGACGACCTCGTGGTTCACGGACGACTCCCTGGGCTACGAGGCCGACGTGGAGCCCAGTGACAAGGACACTCTGGGGCACGTGTGGCGCCGGTGGAGAAGCGCGCCAGACGTACGACCTAACAGTGACGTCAGGGGTAGGTGGCTTCCCGCGGGCAGGGGGGCGTCCGCGGCCAAGAAAGGCGTCGCAGACACTCGCGCGCGCGGAGGTGGAGGTGATGCGAGCAGCGGAGAGCGGGCGTGGCGGCGGCGGGGCAATGGCGGTGGTGTAGGGGCGGCAGGAGGGGCGGAGGGGGGCGCTAGCGCGACCCCATATAAACACGTGCCAGTATGTGGGTACCAGACCCGTAAGTCGTGTAGCGTCGATGAGACCAAGTTGTCACGCCTCAGGCTGGGACTGAGGAAGGTGAAGAAGCACAAACTCCTGCAGTTTAGTCACGACGACGCCGAGAGGAGGCCGAGGACCGCGCGTGTCGCCTCCAGCAGGAAGACCGACGAGAGTGAGCGCGATGCCAGTGACCTTCTGGGCAGTGCCTCGGCCCTCACGCCGCACAGCGAAGAGACCGAGGAAGACCTCTTCCAAGGCGTCGAGAAGCTAGAGTTCGTGAATGGTAAATTCTCGGCTGGCACAGACAAGCCAGGGTGCAGCGGGTTGGTGTGCGAGTGTGTGCGGAGGGGGCTGCAGACTGCGGGCGCGAACGAAAGCAGCAGGGGTGGGCGTGGTACGAGTGTGGAGGCGGGGAGTGTAGATGACAGCACCACAGAGAGGACGCAGCGGGTGCTTTCGCAGGGCTTGGTGATCCACCATTCCGCTAACACAGAGGCGGACATACTCAATGGAAGTCTCATAAGGAACGCTCTTAGCATACTCAGAGAGGAACAGAAGTTGCAGACCCTGCCAGACCCAGCCCCTGCGCCCCCAGCTGAGGACGCAAGCGAGGCGAGTGAAGGGAAGGGGGCGGCAACCGCGGCTCCGGCGCCAGAACAAAGCCACCCCGAGGACGCCTGCACAAAGGCATCGCAAGAACAAACTGAAGATGTGGCTAGTAGTGCTTTGCCCCCCCAGGACGAAATGAACAAAGTGAACATCACCATCCACCTCACTCCACCGCTCCCTCGGAGGACAGGTGAGGAGAGCGGGATGGGGGGCGTCCCCACCCAGCCTCTTGCGCACCAGCACCAAGCGTTCCCCGGTGTGGCTGGCGCTGGGCCTCATGTGTCTAGTGTAACGCAGTGTGTTCCAGTGAGTGAAGCATCGAGAGTGACCGAGTGTGAACAGAAGGGCGGGAACGCAAAAGGCGAGCAGCATCGTCACTATGAGAACGTGGACGGATTCGGCGGGCGGGGGAGCGACGGGGCCGCGGCCGACGGCGGCGGAGCGGAGGCAAGGGGCGGTTACCACAGCAGGTCGAGCGTCACGCAGAGTCGTGGCCCCTCCGAGGCTGCCAGGCGCTCCACCAGTGTGGATTCCCTTTTGAAAAATTATCGTTATCCTGAGACTCCCGAGTCGAGGACCAGCTCCTTGTCATCCTCCAGCGGCCAAAGCAGTTGTTGTCATGGAAGGTCGAGGTGCAGGACAAAGTCGTCGGGGAACAAGAGCCAGCCACACACTCCCAGCCAAGGGCACCGTCACCCCAGTGCCCCGAGAGAGGGCTCCGGCACCACAAGTTCCGCATCGAGTAAGGTTTTCGGCTCAGAGTTCCACGTGCATCGGGTTCAGGTGGGAACGGGAAACGATCGCAAGTTCGCGCAGGCCACACAGCGGTCTGTGCTGGAGGTCCCTGTGAGTGGCGCAGAGGAGCGCCAGGTGGCTGCAGGAGGGCGAGGCCGAGACGCAAACCTTCAGAAGAGTGAACTTGTTCTCGAGCCGCCGAAATCGCTGGGGACACACCCTGGCTCCTCCCCCCGCCACCCCACCTTCCTGACTGCAACCTTCCCGACCTCCAAGACATGCATATCGGAGTACAACATCGGGGACACTAAGCCGCAATCGCCAGCAAATACTCCTGGCTTGTTCTGCGAGGGGATGAAGCATTCTGTAAACAAGACCAAGAATAATAAAGCAACAGAAATCTCTAAAGAAGAGCACGCAGAGAAAAAATCCGGCAAAAGTGACTCTAAGAGCAAATCTAAGTCTAAGCCTCGAAAATACTTCTCCGGTATTTTGAATGCTTTTGGTTCCGCCGCGCCCCGATTTAGAGGCACGGGATCATCATCAGATGCCAAGGGAGAGAGCAAGGAGCGGAGTCAGAGCAAGAAGGTTGTGGCAGACGGTGAGGGTGGTCGTGTTGTCCCGCCCCAGAGCACACAGACATCTGATCTGACAGCCGCCGCCGCAGGTCGTACTCCTAGTGGGTTGTCGGATGCAGGCTCCTCCGACAGGACCTGTGACGCGGCAGCCAAGGGTAGTGCGCTGTGTAACAAAGCCGGTGCGGCGGAGTCTATAAGCGAAGCATTACAGGTAAGGGAGACTAAACATAGTAGCCTTGGTGCCTCAGAATACCGTCATCGTAGTGACGTCGCCCCGATACCCAGTCCGCGGCCACGTCGCGCCCGCAAGAATAGTCATGACTCAGCAGACAGCGTCGCGCCCACACCACCCACCCGCCGCAGAAATCCCGGGGAACACACCGGCAAACCAGCTGTAGATGGTGGCACTAAGGAGTTG